ACAGCCCACCTGTTTGAACTAATAAAGTGCCAGGGGCCTAAGTGGTCACCTCAATATTAAAAAAAAAAAAAAAAAAATATATATATATATATATATATGCTATAAGTACAAGTATAGCTAAACTAATATGTAGTAGTTTTCAAAAGGTATGGTATAAAATTTGGTTTTAAATGTATATCACTAATATCGAGTTATAAAATTATTAAGTGGTATATTGGAATTTTAATAATTTAATTCACAGTAACATTCACAAGAATAACTAAGGTAAAATATTGGTGTTTAAATACATTTTCGAATAATAATAATACATTTCATTTTTTATGGTATAATATAAAAATTTTGATTGTGTTAAAAATAATACATTCTCCGAATTAGCTATCTTCTAATAATCAAAGTTTTTGAATTTAAACTTGATTGTTTACATGAATTTTGGCGTTGTTCTAATTCAAACTATTTGTTATGGTTTGAATGCTATAGATTTTCACAGATACTAATTTTGGTTAATTTGTATAAATAAATATTCGATTAAAATAATGGTCTAATATTTCTAAAATAGTTGATGATAATCATTGGCAGATTTTTCAAATAACATGTACACCAGACGCTTTACTATAGCCCCTTATGATAAATTGTGATAAAGCTTTTACAGGTAATTCAGTTTTTCAGCCGAATTGTTTTGTTCATCACCGTTATATGGTGTCTTGTATTCTTCAGAAATTTCTTGATTTGGAAATTGTTTTTTAATGCAATTGTTGGTAATCTTTTCCAATAAGATCCATTCTTCCAAATAGTCTGGTATGTATTTTTCAAATAATTCATTTTTGAAGTATTGGATTGATAGTGTCCATACCTGGTGGTTTATTTGTTTCTTGGTTATCTATTGTGGTTTACTCATGTTTTGTGGTTCATTATAAGTTATCAAGAAATTTTCATGTGGAAGTACTAAGTATAAGTACATTGCTATTTCTATATAGTATGGTGTCTTGGTGTAGTCGGGATTATTGGTAGTTGTGGATTGAGTTCCAGATTTATTATGAGAAAGGTATCTATGTATTTTGATAAATTGTAATCGTTCAGGGTTCATTTCAAATCCTAATTCTTCTAGAATTTCCTGTAAAGCACAGTTTCAGTATGTTTTATTATACTCTTCAAAGTGTTCTCCTAATCCTGGATATATTGTTCGGGATATATTTTAGCATCTTTAAACCTCTTTGCTGTTAAGGTTTTGATTAGTTCATCGGATAGTTCTCTTTTTCTAAAAAGGGTAATAATTGTATATCGCCTTTTTATTAGTTTATTAGTTTTGATTATCTGTTTTAATTCTGGGGTTATCATTATTTCTTAAGGTCTTTTCTTTAATCTCTTGGCATTATGAATAAATAGCAATCTGAATATATTTTCAGAGTTCGGTATCTCTGTTAATACTTTAATATATTTAGGGTATATTTCTTGAATCATTTCTTTGTACATATCATATATCTCATATAGATATTGTTTATCTATGTCTTGTTTTTCCTTTCGATTCCTTTTAGCTTGTCTTCTAATCATTTCTTCTTCTCCGCACTTAATATATATTTGATAATAGGTATCTTTTAAGATCTGTGTTTCCGTTCAATAGAGAAGTTGTTCTAGTAATTGTAATTCTTCTCTTTCTTTTACATTGTGCCTTGTGAATACTGCTGTTTCTACTGCAGTTCGGTCACATATGATGATAGTGTTCTTATTGATTATTTTTTTTAGTTTGAGTCTTTTCAATTTTTGGTAATTGATATTCCATTGAGTAATTAATAGTATTTGAAACGCTACTAAATACTTGTTGATATCTGAGTACATCAAAGATAACCAGTCTTTATGCTATAAAGTGATCTCTTCTATTAAGAATACTTTATATTCAAGTTGTATAAGGTAATTTTTGAGCTGTAGTGCCTATGTGGTTTTTTCTACTCCTATTGCTCCTCCAATTGATACTAATTTTGCTTTTAGTAAATTGTTTTCTAAGTAATCATCAAATCGATCAAATTTTGCTAATTCAACTTGTAAGGTCTTTTGAAAATTGTTTTGTCTTTGATTATAAAGATATTTTAGAGTTTGTTCTATTACTCTAAATTCTTCATTATTTAGATGTTTTATTTCATTAAGAGTATTTTTTCTTTTCTTTTGATCTTGTTCCATTTCTTCAATAATTTTCTTGTTCTGTTTGTCTGTTAGTTCTTTATACTGTTTATCTGATATATAGCAATTAGTGTCAAATTCTTCTTTAAAATATGGTTCCAGAAGTTGAATCAATTTGTTATTTTGTTTTCTAAGTTTTTCTTCTTCAGAATCCTTATTGGCGAGGATCTAACTTTTTCTTATTGATTTGAATATCGTTTAGAATTTATTTCCTACATTTCTTGTTTTTTCAGTCCAGTTTTTCGGATCTGGTACTATTATTTGGATTGCCTTATTTTTAAGAATCTTTTTGATTTCTTGTTTATTAGAGTATTGGTTACTATCATTTCTTATGTATTCATCATTTCTGAATTTGGGATATAATAATTGAGATACTTTTTTATCTTTATCTTGAAGCATTTCTCTCATTCTTTTATATGCTATGCTTTGTTGTACTTCTTTTTTAAGAATGTCTATCTTTTTGTTTTTTATTTCCTTGATTATTTTAGTCTGCATCATCGGATTATAGAATTCTTCATTAGTCTCTCTAAAGATTGTTTTATTGATTCTTTCTTGATATCCTTCTTTTTTATTATTAGCTTCCATCCAAGCATATTTTTTAATAGCTTGTATATTTTCTTCCTCTTCTGAATTTTGATTTAATTCTTCCGGGTTAGTTTCAGTCTCTTCCAAGACTTTGTATCAGTTTTTATTTTCTCGTTTCTTTTCTTTATTTCGAATTTGTAGTTTTTGTTTTTGGTTTAACCATACTTTAAGGTTTAGTTCTTCTAACCATTTCTGTAATGGTTTTGGTCTTTGAAACATAGAACTTCAAATATGAATTCAATTGGTCCTTTGTAAATGAGTTTTCTGGCATTTCGTACAAACATTGTTTCAATATTTGTGATATCTTGTTTGGTTAAGGTTACTTCCAACGAGGTTCCAGTTTTCTAGACGTATTCTATATATTGGGATAGATCTCGGTTTGATTGCATTTCCGTCTATAAGAATTTTTCCAATTCTTCATATTTTGGTACTATTAATTTAATAGGTTTTGGATATAAGAATATTTCAAAGATCATTTGTTGAAGTTTTTTTTCAGTAAAGAGTTCGAAGTTAGTATCTATTTGGTTTCTAATTTTCTTGAATATTTGGGTAATATTTTCAAGATTTTCATTACTCAGAATCTTCTGAATCTGTTTGTTCTAATTCATTTTTTAATTGTTTAGTTTCATCAATTTCTTTCTGAATAAGTTTAAAGATTATTTGCAATTTCTTAATTACTATTTTGTATATTTCTATTTTAGTATCTTGTTCAAATATCTGAGTGATATTTTTAGTTGTTACTATTTGTCCTTTAAGAATAGTTAGTCTGTAAATATGATTATTTAATGTTTCGTTGTTCATTAAATATTATCTTCTTCTGAATAATTTCCATCAGAATCTACTGTGAGGTTGATTCTGTTTGTGAATTGTTTACAGAGTTCACAGATACTTATTTCCGATTTGTTATCAGAGAATTCTAATAATTCTTGGTCAATATTATCAATTAGAATTTTAAAGCTTTCAATTATATCGTTTAAGGTATTTCTTGTAAAGGCAGCTTCTATCTCGAGATTTCGTATCTGATATGTTAATGATTCTGCTATTACTGAATGTTGTTAGTATATTAATTAGTAATCCACCAGTCAACCAGAGAATAATCATAGTAAAATGTGACTCAAATTACTTATAAAAATTGGGGCCTCCAAATGTGGCGTGTGTGCATCTAAAACTTTTTTTATACTAAGTTAATCACTTTTCTAACTTAAATAACTTTTGTAGAGCTTGTCAAGACACATCTAATGGTGGTTATAGCATCAAAATCAGCTTGATAGGTGCTGAGATATCTTTAAAAAACGTTTCTTTTACTATATAAACTTCTTTGCAAACAATAGTATTGTTTGCAAAGAA